TATTTGGCATGATGCCTTTATGCCCATGATTATAATTTTTCTAAGAAACTCTGATCTAAAACTTAAGATTCAACTATCTGGTACCTGCATTGTCAGTAACATCATATTACATTTTTCCATATTTTAGATATGGCACAGAAAGTATCCTCATGTTTTAGTGTAAAAATCTGCTTCTTGCTACAGCTGTGCAGCAACACTGATTATATCAGTAAACAGAATTCAGCTGTAGGTAATCCAGAAAACTCAGAATAGCCTATGGTAGGAAAATACTTTTTCTAATTTTTCTATTAAGTGTTTAGATAAATGCCCATCATCCGCAAGAGATTTTTAATTACTAAAGACATGGAAAGTTCAGCTGCATGAATGAAGGTCAGCATCTAGTCCTGGTTAACTCCAAGAATGAAGGATGATAAACAGGTAAGTTAATTGTCTTTTTGCAGCTTATATAATTTCTTATACTGGAGTTTGGCACCGAGATAGATGGATACTACAGTAGCTCCCTCTGCTGATCAAACAGTCATCTTGTATATTTTATAATTCATGTATTAGCAATTAATAATCACCTGCAGCCATGAAAATGGATTAAAAATTGGTATTTTACTACTTAAATTACCAGACCAATCTGAGAACAATTTATAACTTTTCTGGCATCCAAGCTGACTTCAGGTAAAACAAGACATCCTGAGACTCACTTCTTAAAGCTGGAAGAGGGGAATTAAGTGGGTCAATTCAAGACCTTTTTACCACTACACTATTGTCCCGAGGCAGCCCACCCTTAGTGACCATTCATTTTTTCTTAACTGATGGTATAAAATACATTAAGCATTAACCCCAACCAAATACTAATTCCTGTAAGAAAATAAGATTTATAATCTTTATTATTTACTTACATATAATAAATATAATACAGAACAAAAACATCACACCCATTGATTGTATTACACAGGCTGTTTATCAGAATACATTACATTTTCTTTTCATTAGCCCTTTTATAGGGTTTTGGTATTGGATCTTAAGAATTTCAATTTATAAACCTATCAACACAAGAACAATCCAATTCTCACCTTTAGGCATGTTTCAAATTTCATACATATACTGATTTTGTTAAAAATATATACTGTTCAATATTTGCCATATAGGCCTTTAATCTCCATTCATTAGATCTCTATTAATATAGAGAATTTCAAAATAATTAATAGTTTAAATCTGATTTTAATTAAAAATACTTATACTATATTTCCCATTTAACTGACACCCCAACCCATCCCCTCAGAATATTAAGTGACAGGACAAAGACACTCCAGGCAAAAGCCAATGTTCACTTTTAAAAGACAAAGGGCAAAAGTTATGGTCCTTGCTTCACCTGTATAATTCTGGAATAATGGAGACACCAATTTGGTATAAAGACGGAAGAAACGAGAAGCCAGAGTTTCCGAAGTGAGATGCATCTTCATTTCAGATTTACTACTGCCATCCTGCTGTTTTCTTGGCTTAAAATCACTGCATCGAGCCATAATTATATGTTTTTCTCTGCATGAATATACTTATCATTAAATGGAAATTAGATAAAAATGCTACATTTCTTTTTTATCAAAAATAGAACAAGGTTTAACACACTCTGAAATCGGCTATTTAAGTGCAAATGCAATACACATCAGCAATTCACGTTCTGGTCTTACCAAGGAAAAAGGTTAAAAGATTACACATAAAGATGTTCATAGAGGATATATACTTGGAACTAGCTGTGCTCTCAGAACATCCAAATTATCAGCAAACTGTACAGACTTCATGCAAACAAAAGTTTTCTTCAGTTAAAGAAGCTTCTGCTTTAAAAGTGTTATTCAGAATTCACTGAAACTTAGCACAAAATGTAATGCCAAAAAGACCATCAAAACTATTGGTTTTGTGCATCTTTTAATGCACACAAGCTTTAGAAGTTTCACAAATCAGTCTGTATAAATGACTAAGAAAAAGTTTCATAAACAATTCTGTTCTACTAATAACCATTCCAAAGAGAACTTACACAATTTTTAAATCATTACAAGGACCCCTTCAGCTGTACAATGCTGAAGCTGTATCACATACTCATTACACTTCTCTAATTCCATTCAGATAACATCAATTTGAACAACTGGCTAAGCTTTTGATACAGCTTTGTGTAAACGGCCTCTCATGATTTTCAATTAATAGAGCATTCATTTGTAACTGGACTGTATGTGGGACTATTTTAACACTTCATCAAGAAGAAACCCCTGAAATCCCCAAAATACAAAGAAACTCCTTAGTACGTACACTCTTCAAACATATTTTTTTCCCATGATTTTTTTTCCAATCACAGGGCTTCATTTAAGCATTCAGCTTCAATATGAAATTATTATTTAAAATACCTACATTCTATATTAAGATAACCAGAGAGAGATCAATCCAATACACTGTTGCCCAAGCACCTCCTATATATAAATGGGCTATGTAAGAAAATACCCCAATGATTTTACAGCTGATCCCATATGTTGCTCGGTAAAATTCTTTACTTTCAATTAAGATTTTTGGTTTTGTTTTCTTTTAAGTTTTTGTTTGTTTTTTTTTGTGGTTTTTTTTTTTTTTTTTTCCTTCTTTAATAGGAAAGGGATACTGTTTGGCTGGAAAGCCCGATGTTCCCGTAGAGGAAAAAGAAGGAGATTCTAAAAATATTTTAGCTATTACTCATTCCGGTAAAGGAACTAGTTCAGTTGGCATGCAAAAGGTCAGATTTAGGTAGAAGAGAAGCATCACCTAGAACACAGACACGGAAGAAGACCTGTGGGCTGGCAACAACATTGAGGGGTAACTCTAACAAAAATACAGTAATTCACATATTATAAAATTAGTTCTATGCTAAATGGCTAATTCTCCTTAGCTTCATAAGCATGGGGTTTTCTTTGTTTTTGTTTGGTTAGGGTTTGTTTTTTTTTTAAACATGGAAAACTTCAGGAACATATGTGAAGAACTACAGAAACATCCCTGAATAATTACTTCTGAGGCCATTCCAGTATCCAGTTATATTTCTACTATGGAACATATACGAAATTTGTGCACCTTCCCTGCCAAGACAGTCAGAAGTTCATTAAAAAATAAAACCATTAGATGCAACTTCATCAACTGAGATCTAGCTAAAGAACTCTGCACTTGTAGAACTAGACAGCTGCTATCTACAAAAATCCTCAAAGAAAAACCTTTTAATGCTTGCAAAATGTAGGAAGTGAAAACTAGATGAAATTCTGGATGCATTCCACATCACGGTAAGCATTCTAGAAAAAAGTCTGGTTACCAACTAATACCAGATGTAATGATGCAATACTTTATCGCAGAGGAGAGTGAGAACACAGATAGCTAAGCAGAGTCACATTTATAGGTAAGATTCATGTTTTAGGTCAGATTTCTAACAATATAGAGAACTAGGGCAGTCAAAATACAATTACAGTAGCTTTATCTAGAGAGGAAATGCCCCTTTGCATTCATTGCAAAGTGAATGTAAGTGGAAATGTCAAATCAGGACTCATGAAGAGGAAGTTGATCCTCAAGGCTATGATATGACTATGATCACATATTCTCACTATCAACAAAAAATTCTCCCAGAAGTATACAAGTAAGGGAAGTGGTTAACATTTCTCATACTGCTGATTTTAAAGGAAAGTCATATAGCAAGACAAATTCGTCTTCTAAGTAATTAAGCTGCATGCTGGCTATACTGGAAATATTTTTTGTGACTAGTTACAGTAGTATCTTTACCATTTTAACCAGCACTAAAATCCCTCAAATTTATATTACTGAAGCCTTAGAGCAAACCACTCCAAATGTATGCTGCTGACAGAAATACAGCAGAGGCATAAAGGTCAACCTGACTGCAGAGTTTCTTTTCAATAAAGTTTTACTTTATTAATGCTGTCTATGACTCTCGTGGGCTTTGGATCAAATCCCAGTCTAGCCAAAGTAACTTTACCAGAAAAACAAACAAAAAAATCCCCAGTGAAAAGACTTTGTAAAAATTTAATGATATAAATGAATATATATGTGTTAGAAGATTTATACTGGTACTCTACCCCAGAATCAGATTATGTATTACTATAGCATCGCCTAACCCTGAAATTTAATGCCACTGTCATGCTGTAAGAGCAGCTTCAAAATCAGCAGTGCAACTGTTAATTTATATGGCACATACTACAATAAAGTAGAAAAACCACACACAACTGCATCAGTTTAGAATGGATGTTTGTCCAAAAAGTAACAAAGTGTTGGGCAGAGTGTAATTTATTGACACCTTTACACACTCTTAACATTCTCCTCATGATTTACCTGATAAACCTAAGGAAGTTCAACATGAAAGTTAGGTGATGCGAAATGTGTGAGTGAAACCTGAAAATATTTGTAGCAATTTTAAAAGCAGGAATTAGTTATCAGCTCTCACAACACATGGTATCATCCATATTTCCCTGAGAAATCATGCCCTGCAATAACCATGTAAAACAAAACACAGCATCAATGCAATCCTGGATTAGATAGGAAAAAAAATCATGCATAACAACAGTTTATGAACCAACACTAAAATGTCTCTGCAGTTATAACTATTAAATTGCAGACACTACATAAGACAGCTGTAACAGAAATGGTAACTAATTCAGAACTTATCCTAAATAAAGAAAACTGATTAGGAGTACCATCCTATGGTTAGCAATATAACTCAACATTGTGATATTAACATTAGTTTCTGTTTCTCGATTTTTGAGTATGTCACTTCTTAACTTCATTTAGAAACATACAAACACTCTGCCTTATTGAGGCCTTTTTTCATATGAAATATTAAAGTCTGTCCATAAACTCACCCTATGTCTGAAATTTAACTGGTTTTCCCCCTCCTCTGATAGCTTAGTTTAGCTCAGTAACTTACATTTCCCTAAAATAGGAGGATCTTTTATTAGAGAATACGAATAATAACATTCAACACAAAGAGATGGAACCATGAATTACAAAGAAATCGTTTTACCACCTTATTTAAAGCAATCATAGTTGTGAATAGTAGTACCTAGGCACAATGAGGATCATGAAAGAGAATAACAATTACAACAACACACACCAAGAAAAGTAATTTGCAGGCTCTCCTATTTTTGCTAGTACATTACAAGGAGGTATGCAATGCATATACCAGCATACTGGGTCAAGTATCACATGCAGCACCATGGTTTGTCATTCAAAGAATACCACCGCTTAACACCTTATTTCCACAGAATACTTTAGCATTTGCAACACCACATGAGATGACCAGGCAGTGCCTTAGCCTCCCCGCTTCTGAGTTTCAGTGTGCAGTCCAGTCCAGTCCAGCCCAACTCCAAGACGAGCCAGATCAGTCACATACTACAGCCCCCACCCCCTTACACGTATTTCCACAGGCAAAAAGCCAACAAGAAAGATGCAGAGCACACTGGGCAACAGAAACATCAGGCCCTCAGTGTCTTCAGTGGCATTCATGTGCCCCATGCTTTCTAAGCAATCGTTGAGTACTGATGTCGCATGTATTTCAGTCCTTTGCTGAATTAGTTTTATGTCCTGAACAATCCCGTGTAGTGAACACGTTTTCAGCATGACTGAAACCTAACAGAAAGTAGCCAGAAAAACTGAAATATTTTTTTCCCATTGTTCTGGATTGCAATACACAGTACATCAAACTATGCAGACTCACCAAAACCCTACAAGCAAAGGCATGTTATGTGGCATTTAGCAGATTATCATAATTTCTTCTATATATAAAACCCAAACAGCTCCAAAATCTGAGTCACACACAAAAGAAATTGTTGGTTGTCTCACAGGGTTACAGTAATTAATTCAACTGTTTGACAGAGCAACACATGTAGTACGTATTTTCCATTTTGTAGGCATGAGAAATCACTGTTCCTTAAGCATCTAATTCAAAGAAATGCTTGAGATAAAAATTCCCTATTTTTTTAAAGTGTATGTGCTTCTTACAAGAAGTAAATCAGAATAAAGATATCCCCAAATTGAAACAGGAAGAGCAATGACAATTTATGCTAGTACACAGAGGCAAAGCATTTATGAGAGAGTTCCTTCACATTCCAGTTGTGTCATGAGGAAGAAAAACCCAGAATGTCTCCATTACGTCAGAGGTACCTGAGAATCAAAGCTAAATCTCTTGTGCATTTACCAAGCACCCATTAGAGAGCTACGCAATTTACATTTCAAATTAGACATTATATTTATAAAATATTACTGTACTAAAAATCACAAGATTTTATAGAAAAAGCTCATCACATTCTATTAAATGCAGGAACAATGTTGCGTGTCATAGCTTCCGTAATTAAAACTGTAACGCATTTCTTGTAACTACAGGGGTGCCACTGTTTAAAAATCGTTTCAGGAAGAACAGTTTGCTTTGGTTTTATTCTTTAAAGGATGTAATTTAATGCAAAAAGATGGCTCAAGCTACCTAGTGCCATTAATATCTTTTAAAAAAATTAACGCATTTTTGTTAAAAACAAAACCAGTGGTAAGGCCCTAACCTTGAGTTTACTGAACAAAAACATTCTTCAACATTCCTGTGGTCAGAGACCTAAGAACATTCTCCTAGTGCATTAAGGACTATGATAATCTTTCACTTTAAGCTATGAACATAAGGACAAATATAAATAGCAATTGTCCATTATACATTACAGCTCCAATTCTATCAGTATGACCAATTTCAAAAGACAACATTATAATATTTTGCTAAAAATACTGTGATTGCCCATCTGAAAGTATACTCAGTTTTCCCAGGCTTAGTTTACTGATTCCACAAGTCCCAGCTGATTCAAATTTGTAGCTAAGGCCTGGTAGTATATAATCAGTACGGTCTCATTGAAACATAGCATTAACTGGAAACAGACATTAGCTTTTTATTGCCAGTGGCCCTTAACATTACTTCTAGGAAAAAAGTTGAAACTAACATCCTCTAATTTGTCAAAATTTAGGAGGAGGGCGGGGAGGGAAGAGGAGGGACAGAAATCCTTAAAACTAAAACAAAAACAACTACGGAATCTCCACTTTCCAAAAAATCCCAGAAAACTCCATGAAGTCAAATGTAAAATTAGTTCTACATACTGCATTTTTAATTGCTCCACTTGTAGGGTTTTGGAATTGAAATGTGAAGTTTCTCAAACTCCCTACATAAGTTTCATAAACTTGTTTATTTGGGGCTTGTGGTTTTGTTGTATTATGTTTTTTTGGTTGTTTGTTTTCCATGTGGTTTTTTTGTTGTTGTTGTTGTTGTTTTTTTGTTTGTTTGTTTGTTTTTTTAAACTCCTATTCCAGGTGTCCAAAGCAGGACTTACTATCTTATCTTAAAGAGATGCCTCAGATCACTGAAACTTGCAGTGTAATCCAACATTACAAAATGGAAGGAAAAATTTGATGGAGGTGCAATATTTGACCAGAATAGCTCCCAGGTTAATTTTTTTTTCCTTCTCTACTTACAGTTTTTTACATTAAATTCTAGCTGCTGGCTAATTATTCCTTTTAAATGTATAGCTAAGCATGTTGCTTTCCTGCATTCTCTCTCATCTAGCAGTTGTAGAACCAAGCCACCAAAGTTTATTTTTGAAGGATCATTACCAAGTGTCAAATATGAAAAAGCATTTGTGTTATGTCACCCTTCTGTATGTGAGTGAAAGGATTACTATTATTAATAATCTTGTTATGTGGAAGAGAGTACTGTTGGCTGAAAATCCATCCTATCTTCATTATAAAAAAATAATATACATCAAAAGCCAAAATTAACTTTAATGTAAGTGTCTTATAGGCCAGAAATTGGAAAATGGAACTAATTTCAAATATTCCTGATTGTAATTATTCATAATTTCTCAGAATCACATAGGACAGAATTGCTGCAGTGAAAGGAAGATAGAGGTTATAAGGAAAATGTTCAATTTTAGGATAAATTTATTAATGCAACTGGGGGTGGGGAGCAGAAATCAAGGCGAACACCTTTATCTTTCAGATGGTTTAGCAGATTACTGTAGCACCAACCCATTGACCGAAAACTTTCACCGTTAACTTGATCTCTTTCATAACTTGGAGTTACACATGTAAAAATTTCCAAATTTAGTTTTCCATGTGAGATAAGTGGGAATAAGAATGGGCTACAGAATCAGTCTGTTTAAAACAAACACTGATTTTGAGAATGTATACTGAATGTACAGTAACTAGAAATAGTTACCATTTATTAAGATTTTAAACATTCTAGATTGTTAGGTAACAAAAGATTTTTAAACATCGGCACCCATTGCCATTACAAGGATTCTCAAAATGGCATAAGACAACATATATGTAGTGTTCCAGGACCATACAAAGATCCTGCCTCAATAATTACAAGAATGCACTTAATAAATTATCATTCTATTTTCTTCTATTAATATGCAAATAGTTTATACAACATAAAAAAGTTAATTTGTACCTATTACAGGTAACATATCTATTTAGCTTTTCATCTGAAAGCCTGTAAGACTTGATGACCTGCAAACTTATTTACATAACTCTTTTGAAAGTATTTTTTAAAAATAATATTGTCCAGCATTTAACAAAATTGTGAGAAAATCACTTAACAGCATTTGTTCTCTTGATTTTGTCAAGTAACTTCACCAGCTCAGTGTTATAAGGCAGGTTGGTTGCTCAGATGGACTAAGACTCCCTATAGTGATAGGCATGTAGTAAATTTGTTCCTTCATAAAAATCAGATGAAAGCAAGAAAAAAGAAAAGTTTAGTTTCAAAAGAACTGAAACTTCTTATTTTTACTACAAATTCAGAATAGGCACTGAAACATGATTCCTTAGGGACTTTTCCAGAAGATTGTCTCTTCGCTGGGCATTAATCCATTTTTGAACTAAGAAGGGAAAAAAAAAAAAATAAAAAAAAAAAATCAGGGCTACATAATTAAAGATTACAAAAAAAGGAATCACCATATGTATTTGTTTCCATCTTATTAATAAGGAAATAACTTTTGTTTCTTAAGCTTAAGACATCACAATTACTGTTTTGGTTAGAATATTTTTAATTTCATTATTAGATTGTAGATTTAAGCAACATTGGAAAATAAAAATATCATTCTCACCATGCATGTAGTTCTATGTAATTCTGCATGTGTTATTTGAAAACTAAAGCCCTGAAGCACAGGGCTGAGAGTCCTAAACTATGTCTATTTTTATGCTTCAAGACAATATCAACAAACAACATAATGTCCCTGTTAGAGGCTTGCATGACCTCCACTTAGGGAGGGATATTTTTCAAACTCCCTAGCTATTCTACTCTAATTTCCCTATCCTTACTGTGAGAATATTTCCCTTAATATTTAATGCAATTCAACAATTTCATTCCTGTCAACCACAAACACCAGGTTTCCTTCTTGTTTTCTAGACCCATAGTGATGAAGTCTGGTCATGTTCTCTAAACTTCCTTAATTGGTTGATGTTCTTCATGAACTGCAGAAATCCAAACTGAGACCTCAAATGGCATTAAAGAGAGTGAAATAATTACTTCATATCTCTTCCACAACATCATACATACCAAGCAGCTGTATGCCTTTTCTGGTTTATTGACTCATGTCCAATTTTTCATGAATGTTGTAATACTCTTAAGTAAAAAACTACATTGCAAAATCACTGACCAAGAACTGTATCAAGGTGAGAGTAATGCTTGGTAACGAATAATAATAATTTTGAAGATACCCTTCAAAACTCTGTCCATCAATATAGAACAAGATTAACTGTATGCTCTGTAAAAATGCATGCTTATACAACACAAACGTCATCATGAACACCAATGCTCACCTTTCTCCGTATTAAGTTTATTAAGCATACCTTTTGTCTATGAACAGCAACTGTCTCCATCTTGTGAAACACTATGCATAGGAATGAGACTTTCACACTGCTCACTTTCTTCTGGCATTCTTAAAATAAATAAGTTTATTTAAAGTTATACAGTAATACTAACTTGGTTGTTATGAAGCCAGTGTAAGTACTAAGCAGGCTAGCTGTTTGAACTGCAGCCATTAAAAACATACAAAGAACCCATAACTTCATAAAGCCTACTCAAGTTTGTACAATTTTCACTGCGTGTTCTGGGTATACCAACTATCATAGAGGCATTAAGGGAAAAAAACCAAAATGTGACAGCCACTAGGAAACTTCTTTTAAAAGGTAAACAGACTTCACATAGTTCCATTTTCTGAGCATTATATAGGTAAATAAATGGATTGTCAACCACTACTATTAAGAAATTTGTACACTTGATTATAAAATTAGATTAAAACAAATCCAGTATCAGTACTGTGGCTTATAAAAGAGTATAGGACACTGGAAAGGCTAAAGACATAGGATTATACTTTGTGATTGCCCTACCTCTGAATTCGATGTTTTCGACAAATAAAGGCAAAAATTCTTCTGATTCCCACCATCACTGGATCCCAGTTGTTATAGTGACATAAGAGAGTTGCAATGAAAAATGAAAAAAATACAGGAACTGCTCCTGCAAAAAATAACCAGGAAAACTGCACCTGGAATTAAAACACAAACATCATTCACTTAAGAGTAAAAATTAAAAAAAAAAATTAAATTGGCAGAGAGTATATTTCTAATAATTATCGTAAGTTTAAGATGAAGTTTAAGTTCTTTTAAATTGGGTGAAATAGTACAAATATTTTGTAAGTTACTTGGTACAATTTCTATAGCCACTGCTATTTCTAATAAATTGATAATATTTCTTCACTGATCTGTTCTTTACAATGGAACACACTGTTTGCTCTGTGGTGTGGATGAAGACTGCTATTTCCAAATGGTCTCATTTTTAGGTTTTAGCTGTCTAACTGGTAGCAATGAGAAAGTCCCCTGGACACTTCAAAATTTTTGAATAAGAGATCTCAGCAGAAAGATTTGTGCACCTGTTTATTCACCATGAATATACTGTCAGTGACTGGTAACAGCTGAAATCAACGCACATGGAAAGACTATGCTCCAGGAAATTTACAGTCATTTTCTTCCTCATTTAAAAAAAGGCAGGGCACATTATTTGTTCCATTTCAACTGAATTCAATTTGTATCTATACTACTATTTGTATCTATACAACTATTTGTACTACCACACCCTGAAGTGATCACATGAGATTGTTTAAAATTTAAAATTATAGGTCAGAGAAAACCGAGGGTCCAAGAACAAGAACTAGTCTCTGACAGAGCTTTAAGGCTAACAGAGCAAAGGCCCGTGAGCACAGCTCCCTCTCGTGGGAGAAGTTTCCAAAATTGAAGACTGGAGAAAAAAGGTAGTCTGGTACTAGCACTGATGTTCACTCTCAAAAATCTAATGAACTGCCATTGTTAGAGCCTCATGTTAGCCTTACTGTTTGCTAATGGAAATGCATAAACACATAAGTTACCAAAGGGAATATTTCAGTGGGTTTTAAAAATTTGGTTTCAATTTATTAAGATTCAGATTTATGTCATATTATTACAGAATAATAAAGTCTCAGAAAATTAGTAATTATGCATATTGTATAGTTACCATACAATTTGACAGTTTTATGAAGACTGCAGATATTCATATTTTAATCTTTACATTATCAGCCATGCTGGTGGCATTCCTATGTAAGTTCTTTTTAAGAAAACTGAAATGTGTTATAAAGACAAGGTTGGCCAGACGCACTAACTGGAAGGCTTGAAGTTGGAAGCTTAAATTTCTATCATCATAACTTGGGCAGCTGAGACTTCAGTGAGCACAGGGCTTGGCTTACAGTATTTTGATGTTTGTACGACAGAGAAATACTTGCATAAATCACATAATCACCGAATGCCAGGTTGGAAGGGACCTCATGCATCATCTGGTCCAACCTTTCTGGCAAAAGCACGGTCTAGACAAGATGGCCCAGCACCCCATCCAGCTGCATCTTAAAAACTGTCCAATGTTGGAGAATCCACCACTTCCCTGGGGAGATTATTCCAGTGGCTGATTGTTCTCATTGTGAAAAATTTCCCTTTCGTGTCCAATTGGAATCTCCCCAGGAGTCACTTCTACCCATTGGCCCTCATCTTTTCTATGTGATTCCTTGTAAAAAGGGAGCCACCGTCTTCCTTGTAGCCACCCTTTAAATACTGGAACATGGTGATAAGGTCTCCCCTAAGCCTTCTCTTCTCAAGGCTCAAACAACCCAGTTCTCTCAGCCTTTCCTCACAGGGCAGGCTGCCCAGTCCCTTGATCCCCTTTGTGGCCTCCTCTGGACCCTCTCCAGCCTGGCCACAGCTTTTTTGCATAGCGGGGACCAAAACTGAACACAGTATTCCAGGTGTGGCCTGACAAGCGCTGAGTATAGTGGGACAATGAGTTTTTTATCTCTGCTGGTGATGCCCTGGTTGATGCAGCCCAGCACCCCGTTGGCTTTCTTTGCCGCAGCAGCTCACTGTTCTCTCATGTTGGGCTTGGTGTCCCCCAGGTCCCTTTCCACAGAGCTGCTCCCCAGCCAGGTACATCCCAGGCTGTGCTGCACTCCTGGATTCTGTTTTCCCAGGTGCAAGACCTCACGCTTGTTCCTGTTGAACTTCATCAGGTTCTTGTTAGCCCACTCTTCCAGCCTATCCTGGTCCTCCTGCAGGGTGGCTCTCCCTTCCGGAGTGTCCATTTCCCCACTCAGTCTGGTATCATCAGCAAACTTCATCGGGACCCACCATCACTGGTCCCATCACCCAGGTCACTTATGAAGTTATTAAACAGCGCTGGGCCCAATATCCATCCCTGGGGGACCCCACCTGTGCCAGATTGCCAGTTGGAAAAGGAGCCATTTCCCACCACCCTCTGGGTGCAGCCTGTCCGCCAGCTCCCCCCCACCGCACAGACCACTCGTCCAGGCCGTAACGTGTCAGCTTCTCCAGGAGGAGGCTGTGGGGAACCGTATCAAAGCCTTGGAGAAATCCAGGCAGACAATGTCCACCACACGCCCCACATCAACCGAGCAGGTTGCTTTATATACTTGTACAAACAACCGCAAAGTCTACAGGAGTTTGCCTTTAATTAGGGTCACTCGTTTGTGCTTCTAATACTAGCGATTCCTTTTAAAAAAATAAGAGATATTAACTTGCACCTGTGTTACCAACATCAGCTGAAAGTCACCCAACAGAGCTTAAAGATATTTCTGCTATTTCAAACGCCTCAATATTGCATGAGTAGATGAAGAATAAATGAAGTTTAAAGATCAGGACTCTGTGTTTACTCAGATTAAATAGCCTAGATATGAAGTCGTTTACTGAGAAATAGAAAAGCATATTACAGGAGAAACTTTATATGAATCATTTCAGAACATAATCTAAGCTTTTTATATTTTGATATAACTATATATATACACATCTAAAAATGTGCTTGCACACACACACGTATATAAAATATGTATAGATGCACAAACAGAAATGTACAAAATTCTTACCTTTTGTACCATCATTAGCTCAGATACAAACTTAATTCTACCTCACTAGAGTGAATTTTTGGGGGAGAAGTCTACAGATTTGTTTTCCTTTTTTCCTTAATAGATATAATTAGTTATTTATTTTCTTGCTTCAATTTATGTCCCAAGAGTACATTGCAGATACTTTAACAGCAACACAAACACAATTATCTTACCAACAAATGATTTATTATTGTTGGAATCACTGCAAGGTTTTGCTGTATTTCCATGTTGAAATATGCAGCTAATACTAATATGAAACATACTTGATCTCACATGTTCGTTACACAAATATTTATTCAGGGTCTGACTCTCCTTTTATTTTGCAATTCAATTTTCCTTTTTTTTTTTTTCATTTTTATCCTTTTATTTTTCTCCTTTATTTTCCAAATTCCACACTGACATTAAGTAAAATAAGTTGTGTGGGTTTTTTTCCCCATTTTTACATGCCTGCCAGAAAATTTCAGAAATCAAAACTTTGTCATTAGAATTTACACTTTGCTTGTGAAAACATTGAGTGGTAAAGTTTCCTTTTGGCAGGAAACATTCGAAGCACAAGGCTTGACTGATTTTTTGTACATAAGTCAGTCTTATACAAATAAGTACAAGCCTCAAAAGAAAAATGTCAAATGTAATGATTGAAAACAAGTCATAAATTGAACTACCACAGATAGTGCACAAGCCCCACTTGCTTCAGGTAAGTCACCGCTCACAGAATGCGCAATTTAAGCTATGGTCCAGACATAGTTGGTATTTTTCTCTTCTCATACTTTCACATTTCTATTTGCACAAAGCTTACAAACTAACTGCAACTGTATTTGCTACAAGACTCGAACATCAAAGCAGTGTAAGCAGCAGCAACTGGCAGAGCAAGACCACAAGTCTTCAAAATTTCGGTAGTAGTATTGTATAGTTAGGTCTAAGTTTGGTCAAAATGTGACTATTGGTGACACCTGTATGTGACCAACACAAGCATGTGATGGGAAATGTTTACTTTAGCCAAGTGATAAATACACCTGTGTCTACACTGAGTGCTGCCAAAAGGCATAGCCATAATGGACTACGTAGAAAAAAAAAAAAAAAAAGGGCATTATCAGTGTAAGAAAAATTAATCTTGCCTTTAACAACAGATGCATTGTAAAATCAGGTTGAAAGCTGTTTCAAAGAGTTAGACAGATGGTTTAACTTTCAAAACTTACTGCTAAAATTTTAATTTATTTAAATCCTAAATAAAGAGCAGAAACAAGTGATCCTGCCTTCAGGAAATAGAAACAGTTATATAATCTCAATTTAAAGAAAGAAAAACTAAAAAAAAAAACAAAAAAAAATCACTAATTGCATGCTTGCAATATATGCTAAATAATCATTATTCATATGAAATTAAGAATTTTTTATTCCCTGCCACTGATTAAATATTAAATTCAAATATTCAAAGTTAGAGTTAAAAGTTCATTGTGGTGGGTTGACCTTGGCTGGATATATAATTAATTATTTAAAACTGAGAATTCTACCCCACCAGCATGAAAAGTATCTGTACAGCTTGAAGAGCAAATATAAACTAGCTTCATATAGTTTCTATTCTAAACTCATATTATCAGAGTATTTTCTTTCTTTATATGCAGTTTTTCTACAGCTATTACCTCAATATCAGCAAAACTATACTAACTTAAAGGAAGACAGTTAAATGGAAGCCTAATGTCCACATGAATCTAATATGGTGCAATTAAGCCTTGTAGCTCCAACATTGCTTTGTGGTAAACCTGCAGATTTTTGGTTTTATCACTAATGGCTTATATTTTCAAGATATGCAGTCTATAACAATTCTATAACTGTAAAGGTATTAATTTAAGATGTGCTGTACTTGCAGTTGTTCTTTAATTCTGAAAAGTGTCTGCTTAAACTAGAGCATTTGACCAGGCATTGCTGATAACTTTGGGTACTTTCCACACAAACTGCATCTTAAGTGTGCAACTGCACGCTTGCAAGTGCAAAATTACTGCAACTGTCAGTATCAAGGAAGTATTAATCATTACACAGTTCAACAATTATTGACAAGTGACACAAGTAAATTACTGTTCATTGTATACACTGTTAATTAAAAATAACACTGCCATTTAATTCAAATAAATCCTGTTAATAATGTTCAAAACTGAGTAGTACATTACCTTTTGCATGCACATGTCAGCTATTATGGACAGAGGTATTGTAAGGCTTAGCGCAAGTGTGCCTATCAATGATGAGGTAAGAAAGCAGCCCCTAAAAGATAATAAAAAATTATAATAATAAATAATAAAGAGATCTTATTTAAAAATTAAAATAGAACTAAAGTAATACATCAAACTGCAGAAGACATTTGATCAAGCTTAACTGTTAGGCACTGTTGATTTTAGTAATTAAAAACTGAGATACCCACACTCCATCATAAATCTGTAAGACTGCATAAAATTCTTAACTAGACTACTGGTGTCTTCTGGAGTAAAGATGAAGTCCCATACAAACCTTCTGAGATAATGGAAAATTCACTACTTCCCATGTAGTGACTTCACCTAGGAAAATCCAGATTTTATTTCCATTCTGAAATAGTTTAATACTAGCTTATAGCAATTAAATCTATTTTGCCCCAGTCTGGTTAACTAAAAGTTACTGATGTCTAGATATCCTACCAAAAAAGATAAATAGTTTTTACAAATAGACAAATTCTTGAATTAACAGACCCTGCTTTTTGAATCTCACTCTAAAATACACCCTTGAAATCATTTCTCAGAGTCTCAGTAAGACTTCCCTGCATTCTATAAGTGGTCTCATCGTATTTCCTAAGCAGGAACAAAGTCATTAGATTTCTCTAAATCACTGAGTCACAAGAAGCCATTACAATTTATTTACGTGACAGAACAACAAAACTACATGCATATGGCAGAGTAGTACTCATTAACAGCCATAGAAATCTCTTTTTCTCAAATTCCCTTGCAAGTCTTACTTAGTCTGGAAATGACTTATTTACTGAATGAAGTTAATAAAATAAAATAAAAATAAAATAAAAAAATACAGAGCACCTCAAAGTGTATGTAGGACAGACCTAAGAGAACACATGAGCTCCTGAGATCTTTGGCATTTCGATATAAACCTAAGGCTCTATAAATAAAACTTTACTAGCCTGAGCCATTTTGATACCAAGTAAAAAGCATAACATCCAATATAAAAACCTGCAATTCCCATTTTATGATCAACCAAGTCAAAAGTTACCAAGCATAGTGGGGCTTGCTAGTAAATACTCATCTACGAAATAGCCTATTCTACCACATGAGGAAAATAAATGAAAGGGGGTCTCTACCCAATTCAAACCAGTAATGCCCAACTACTGAGCCTCTTATTTCAAAGGCTTCCAGAATTTATTTCTTAAGATAAAGGCAATTCTTCTCATCCTTGGCATGTACTGAACACAATACTAGATATGCTTTTTTGTGGAACTGCAATCAGCTTTGCACACAATTAATTTTAAAGATGGAAAATCCTGTAGCTGCAATTTTTGTTAGAATACTGAAATTTGGTTTTTACCATCTTGATATTTATTCTGCTTGCTGTAAAAATTACACAGGTGCAACACGACTGAAACTACATTTATGAAATGTGATTCACTGAGGAAAATGCTATTGCAATTGATCTCCCAGAAGTTTGTTAACACCTTTTAAACACAAATATTTGAAAACACATTTGGAAAACATTTTCTAGAACATGACTTCGTGCATTTATTTCTCTAGTTAAACTAGAGGAGTACTCCCACACCAAGCCATTAGGTCCTCCCATACCACTGACTTTCAGCCAAGCAAAACTGACAAGCTTGGATATTTGTGGCTACTTCTCATTGTTCTGTGTCTTTAAACCAAGTAAAAATGTACACAGATCAGAAAGGAACAAAAAGGAAACAAAGCATTTTAGTTACTCCGCATTTTTGCAAACTTCCTCACCAATATTCTAAATCCCATTACATACCATAAGAGAATACTTCTGTTTCTTTGCACTACTTCTGAATTAGAAACAACTTGTCCACCAGAACACCGTAAATGAATAAACAATACAGAACCCAATGAAAAACGTAACAGGTTTTTAAAAAAATAAAAAAAAAAAAAAAAAAAAAGGAAAATGAAAAAAAAAATTTAAGAATAACACCTACCACTACATTATTTAGTTGGCAGTATGTGGTTGGGTGGAATACACAAGTAGGTTAAATTATATTATTTACTTCCAAAGAAAGAACAGAGGATCATACAAGACAATACAAGGCTCCTAGGACAAGAGCTAAGTTTGGGGGCTTTGGGGGGCTTTGTTATTTTGCGTGTTGAAATTGCACTTTACCTTTTTACCCATTCATACTGAACTGTAGTGTAATCTTACAGGATGGCATTAACATCACAAATATTCCATCAATAAACAAATTATATTACAAAAGAACATATGCTGCAATGCATTTACAACTAGGACTGGTGTAAGAGTTTGACAATAAACAAAAAATGCCATGATTAAATTTCCTAAGTAACCTTAAACTTCATCAGAAAAAAAGCAAAGCAAACCAAAACAAAAAAAATCCAAACCACACACAAAAGGTTTTCCTAGAACTCGATCTAGATCTTTTGTTGTACTATTGTTACAGAATTTAGGAGCCTAGGATTACGGACATCTCCATTTCAGAGTAGCTATCCCAGGAGGTCTTCCAGTCTCTACCAGAGTTGAGAGGCTGCACACCAAGGGTTCTCATGCAAAAGCTCACCAACTGCCACACCTGTGCAGAATGTAGCTCTGAAACAGACATTGCTCTCTGAGCAACTGTGTAGCACAATGGCAGCCTGTCTCTTTTTTGGAAACTTGTCAGTGTTTCCAGAATAAAATAGGACTTTTCAACTTACAGAATTTTCTGTTACACCCCTATTTTAACCTAATGCTGTACTGGAAGAAACTCCGACTCCCTGAATTCTCTCAAGCTGAGTACCCTGACTTACCAAACAGTTCTCTAATAACACTGTCCTTCTAACAGCTACACAAAGGTTTAAGTCTGCTACGGCTTTTGAGCCTTTCATCTAGAAGTCTCATATCCAATCCTCTGTTGCCCACCTACCCAGAAGAACATATAATTTAGTAATTACTAAACAAAAGGTAGGCTAATTTACGTATTGTCATATCTTCGTGATTAATGCATTCTGATGAGATTTAGCTCATTAAGTCTTTGAAGATTTAAACAATTATGTCAACTATAGAATACTGGAGGCTGACTCATATATATCTAACATGCATAAAGCCTTGAAAACTGAAGAACTGTTAAAACAGAAATTCATGCTCTCCTATTACTACTGCAAGTCTGTACCACAAAGTCTTTTTGTAATAAAATGTTAATTCTAGAATGAGCTATGCACATATTATCTTAATAAATACTACAGGAGCACATCACCTGTTTTTTAAAGTTAGCTGTTGCTCTTATAGAGGATGCTGTGACATGATGGATGACGTTCTCTAACTCAAACTGTGCAGAAGGACAGAAAAAATAAAAGAAAGAAAACAAAAGGCAAAAAACCCTACCTAGATGATTTGACATCTCAACATTTGAGAACACAGGTAAGACAATTTACATGAAATATATACAAAGCATGTAATACGTACCACAGCCAGAGGAACTCTGACAGAACTGTTCCAATAAGGCCGTTAATGACAATACACATCCATATCAGTTTATTGGGAAACTCAAAGGCTTCAAACCCAGTATAGTGAAGCAGAAAAAACCCTGGCCACAGCAGCAACAGATTAAACAGCCCTACAAAACCTGAGTATAAAAACAGTAAAGTAAGTCACAATAAATATCTTTCAACATAACTAAAATCTCACCTAAACTCTCCTATTTTGACAACATGCATATATAAAAGCAGTAACAAAGCAATATTTTAAATCTTTCAAAGGAAAGGAATATAAGAAAATTTACCTGAAATTCACAGACAACAATTATATCGGATATTTACAGGTTTGGAAAAAAATAAAAAAATTCCATTGAGTCAAAGGGGTTGTCTGTATTCCTACAGGTAGTGTTATCTTTCATTGTTAAGACTGTAAACAAGAAACAATTCACACAACCAATCTCTAAAGTGTTCATAACCATGGGAACAATAGGCTTTCCCTACCTCCTTGGCTTTTCTGAACCCTTTTCCCGCTCACACAGTTCAGTGCCTGAAAGCAAACAATGTAATCACACACTGAATTAAGACTTCTAACAGAGTTATTTTTGATCTTACCAAAGAACATTGGTATGTCAAGTTTATCTTCTCTATCTACTTTCCTTTTTATCATTACTATGTACACTGCATACAGCATTGCTCCTACAAGAGACCAAAGGGAACCTGTAAAGATGAAAAAAACCACTCACTTAAGACATGCTAACCAAGTTATGCACACTAGAATCAACTCTCCTGAACATACACCTCTTATAAAACTATCAGATAAATTGTTTATTACAGAATCCATTACTATATGAAAAACATGGAGAAAATGCAGAAAGCTTGAAAAATGTAAATACTTTCACAATTAAGCTATATACATAGGGGGAAAAAAATCATCATAAATGTCTAGTTTCAGAAGTTGAAACTAAAAAGCCAAATTGTGAAGTATTACACAAGTAAGAATTATTTTTTTTTAAGAAAATTTAAGCAACTACATGAGTAAGCCTGCTATATGACCGACTGAGTATTGTCAAAGGATGGTATTCATCACTGCATATTCTACGATTAAAAAATAAGTAAATACCTATTGTATCTTTTCCAGCAGATTTCTCAGATCCAGAAAGGTTAACAAGTACCACACCACCAATGCTAGCAAAAAAGAAGAAATGCAAAACACTACTTAAACCCAAGAACTTTACTACAAAGACAGAAAAAAAGGAGGAGGAAAAAAAATAAAAATACGGTTCTACATTTAGGTATTTTTAGTTAATCAAATCCACTTTTGGTACAGCCAAAAGGAGTTATCTATTACTGAGGACTGATCTTAAGCTAAAAACAAAAAAAACCACTTAACTTCCCTGAACAATGCATCAGGCATGTAATGAAACAGGCTGACAACACAATGTCAAGCCTCTTCCTTTTTCCCATCTACACAACAATAAAGAAAACATAAATAAACAAGAATATTTCCAACAGAAACCAAATTAATTTCCTACAGGAGCAGGAGATTCGGTAATTGTTCAGGATATGAAGTATTTCAAAATACTTAATTTACTTGGCTCAATTTATCTGTGAAACAATAATTTTTTAAAAAGTGAAGCATACCATATATTGTCACAGATACCACAGGTATAGTAGGTATGGTCGTCCTCTCACTGTATCAGGGAGGTTTTGACCAAATATTCCATCCCAGAACCTTACCTTAAAATAACAGCTAATAATTTCGACAGGGTAAACCTATCTCCACTGTTACTGGGAAATACTGCAGCTAAGATTAAAGTAAAAAGCCCTGCAAGAGAAATCAAGACGAGTTAATACAATCAAGTTTTGTTACTAGTTTGTTCAGAAAACTGCACAGACATTTTCTTCTTTATACTTCACATACTTGTTTTAACTACTTGATCTTAGCATCCTTAATTTTAAGCAGAACTATTATGAAACTAACACCTTGCAATGTGAATCCTCAGATGAGCAAATACATGCTCAACTTCAAGAAAGGCTAGCCATACAACAAAATAGACTGCAGTAAGCCTGAAAAGTCAGTGGAAAAAAAAAAAAAAAAAAAAAAAAAAAAAAAAATCACATAATTGTGCTTTTAAACTGATTTTATAAAACAAAAGTTACTCCCCAAAACACGGACTGCCACATAATTTAAATAATTTAAAGGTCATATTACAGCCTTGCATAAAACCTGTAAAGAAAGTGACATGCATAATATTTAGATGGTTTAAGTTCTTTACCCCTAAAAGCTTTGTTTTAAAAAACTAATAATTATCAAGAATTGTATCTATTTCAATAAAAAGTTATACCACTTTTCCTTCAAACCTATTATACTCCCAGTATATCTCTTCCACACATAGACACAACCACAGAAGTACACACATAAACTTGAAAAGCAAAATGCAGTGGAATCATGAAGACAGCCTAAACACCTGCAATTACATAATGAAATTTTTAAACGCACATATTAAATGGCTTTAAGTTTTACTGTTGCCCCAAACCCACGGGTAAATCAAAGTCCATTGTAACCAAAAAGATTTTTATGTTATCAACAGCCTTATAACGTACATCTGGTGGTATAAATAAAACTTACCAGATGTTGAAGACAAGATATTAACTATGGCAACCTGGGTATCTGACAGAGCTTCTTGGTAAGAGAAATTTGCTAAGAACCACTAGAGGAAAAGAAAAATAATTTTGTGATTATATAGACAGCAACAAGAGAGTTTAAGTTTCTCAGTGCAATAAAATCCTACTTAAAGAAAAAAAAAAAACAACTATTTATCCAACAATAAAATCAGAACAAGACTTTCACCCCAAATAGATTTCTAGCTTCAATGAAACCGGCAGGTACATTAAAAGACAGATGCAAAAATAGAACGGGCCCAATCAACTATGTGTTTAATGATGAAATAATGTATTTCAGAAATTAAAAATAAAGTGACACTATAATAGCTATTCTATAGTGAGTAAAGGTACTTTTAACTTATTTTGTATATGCTTCAAGATAACTGCACAAAGACTGCAAAGAAATTTCAGATACAAGGGACATTAGTCAGCATAATGAGGGTTGGGGGTTTTTTTGGTTGTTTTTTTTTTTTTTTTTGAGTACTTAAAACTGTCACACATCTCCACCCTAAAACCAAACATCACCTACATTCAACACCTCAAAAATATTTTGGAAGGATTCATGTCTGTTAATTACTCCATAAAGGAATAAAATGGCACGTGTTTTATTATTTCTTGATTGAGATCTCATTAATAAGATCTCAGATATATCCTCAGAGAATTTACCACTATCTAAAGGTTTAGGTGGAAATATTTATATAGTCCAAGAAGAAATACATATACATGCCAGGAGTAGCAGCATCCATGAATAGCATAAACAGGATTTGTTTTGAACATGAGGACTCTACCCTAGAAAATCTGCATGTATATATATACAGAAATATACTCAGACAGACAGCACTTTAAATCATTTTTAAAAAAGCCATTTCATCCATCCAAAATGAGTAGTTTATTATTCTCTTGTTGCTGTGTGTACGTTCTTTATGTATACACACAGAAAATTTTATTTACTGGTCCATGCATCAACAATACTAATATTTATATTAACAACAACAACAACAACAACAATAATAATAATAATAATAAATGTTTAGAGAACACTACTTCCCAAGGAAAAGCTGTGGTGGGTCCACATTACATATAACCTATTTGGTAGTATCAATGAAGCTACTTCTGGAAAAGCTATTGCTGATCTGCTCTTTACTTTTCTACCATCTTTCAAATATCATGCCACCATTCTCTCTCTCTCCCTCTAGAACTGAGGCATGATGTAGAAACACCAGCAAACAACAGCTAAGTAAATCTCACAGCCCTCAATAGAACTGGAGGACAATTAACTTCACTTCATACTACTGGGGGGCACAATGCCACAGTGAGGTGTAAGATGGCACTTTCCCTGTGATGGCCCAGAAGGAAGCTGTAGTGACACTTACCCATTTCCTGCAGTCTCACTGCAGCTATTAACAGTCTGTATATATGCAAACCCAGATTTTGCTGTACTAAGCATACCCAACACTGGATGGCATGGCACAAAAGCACAGCATACCTTACACCTGACCTTACAGTTAAATACACACCCAGGGTCTCTTTATTACCTTCCCTTTAAGAAGTTGCACCTTCATGTCCAGCCCATGAGGAAAGTTTTACTTATAGTATATTTATAAAATGAGGCATAAAGAACACAAGTCATCTCAGTACTGTTTCATCATTATTATACAAGTTTCAACTTCACACTTAAGTTTTCTGAAAGAACAAAGCACATACCACAAAGCAAAAGAAAAAGCTAATTTTTGCTACTTGAGTTGCAGTGAGTTTTCCTACAGTTTTTAATATTGACTCCTGCTCCTTAACTGTTGGATAAGACATGCGAGACAACTTTGCTTCCAATGCATGGCTCGATGGGAGTTGTCGAATCTCCATAATATTACTGAACCTTACACGAGGCTTTTTGGGAGCTTAAAAAGAAAAAGACAAGAAAAGAAAGAAAGAAAAAAAAGCTGTATATTATCATTAAACTTTTCAAGCCTACACAATATGTAAATAAAACTATGACGTTGTAATACATCATTGATTACAATACTTCACAAATAACAGGTTTCTATCCAAATAGAAGAGACATGCCATTATTTTTCTTTATTAAACTAGTACTTTGCTATTTAATAGGCCACTAAAAAGACAAAGCACAATTACTGTTTTCAATCAGTACAGTTGTCCACCCACAAAAACCTCACTGAAAAGCACCATACCTCCTTGTCAAAAAAATCCACACAAGGTAACAATTTTTAAGTAGGAATTATTCTGTATTGATAAATACTACATTTAAGATTTTCCTTAACTGTTTAATAGTCAAACAGCCAAAAACTGCACACAACTATACCTAACTGCAAGGACAGTGTTTCATTCAGAGGATGGGAGTGTCCAACAGACCTCAAAGCTTAGCAGAGATCATAAGGTCACTTGCTCATTTGAAAACCACCCTCTAACTAGTCTTGCAAACCAGATCAGATTTTATTTATAATGGTATTGTAAATCTCATTAGTTTCCTGTGCAAAGAAAACATTACACAATATATATAAATATTAGCCTAATTCAATATGAAGCAATACCTACTTTCCTAAAAAAAGTAAAGGGAAAAGCTACAGCTCAAACAACCCTGAGGTGATTGCTGCATATTATCACAGGACAGCAGAGCCTACCAAAGCAGTTCTTAACACATGTCATCTAGACATTAACAATGAGACTTTCCCTTTTATAAGCAGGGACTCTTTTGCTGAGGATCAGATAACTGGATTCTTTGACAGCCAACTTTTCTATATTGTCTGGGACAGTTAGGCCTGTTTCAGCTACTATCACAAGATAGTGAGTCTTAAATAAAACCAGAATGCACATAGACTGTTAAAATTCTTACTTTGACTGCTTTGCTCCTGCTCTAAAAAGGACAATAGCTTGTTTTTCCAGAGGCTGACTCACTGCTGCTGGTCATACAAGCCCAGAAGGAAAGAATCACAAGTACTGAACCCAGCTGGTCCCTTGAGAGAAACATAGGCTGGATCTGTAGTGACCAAGAAAGGTAAACTGAACGATAGGCCTATGTTTTCTCTACCTGAAAGTAAATATATGAGACCGCAATTCATGCAATAAGAGATTTAAGGAAGGAAAAAAAAAAGTAAATAAATAAATAAGGGGGAGGAGGGGGGAAGGCAAGTCTTGCAACATGACAGCAGCTATACCAAGAAAGAGGAAAGTAATTCCTTCAAAGAACTAGCATTTCAGCATTCCAAGTCTTTACTCACTTTTCTCTGCATCAGTATTATTACTGCCATTTTTTTCAGTTGGCAAATCATGAAACTTTACAGGAACATATAAAGGTTCACTCTGAAATGAATCAGTATAAGTAAAAATACAGTTAAGCAGGGTATTTAAGTTATAAGCAGTAGCATTAATTTAGCTCATTAGAAAACTAAATAAAGAAAAGCTTAGTGAATATTAAGAGAATAAAATTTTACAAAGTGTTTTTTCACACAGTGGATAGACTTGTCAAAAATGTTCATACATAATCTATATTTTATGTTAAACATATTGGTACGATGCAATACTCAAAAATAACTGTGTGCTTTTGTATACATCTTCATGAACACAAAACTCATTCCCAGAAAATTCAAACCTACCGATTTAAAATTTAAACATAACTTATCAAAATCTCAGATGTTTCATTAGATCTATAGCTTCTGTCCAAATGATAAACTAGAAACATAAAATACAGAATATGTCTACAAAAATTAATACATACTCATTTTCCTCCCATGACCCTGAAAGCCCATGAACTAGAACTAAAAGTCAAAAAACTCTGGGAAAGGAACTCAAATACATACGGCACTTAGCAGAAGTTTTAATTGCTTAAAATACTTATAACAAGACAAGTTTTAAGCTGCTTTTTAGAATTAAATTAATAAACTGTAAAAGTGCATAATGGAAAAGATCTGGTAGTTGCATTTTGATTATGCTCCTTGTTTAGGACTAGAATTTTTGTGGATGTTTGAATTAATGCAAAATTGCCCAAGGTTAACAATGAATCCTGCTTCCACAGTCAGATGATCTTAATTAATTGAGAAGACTAAGAAGATTTTATTCTTAAATGTAGATGATAAATAAAAGTTGGAATAAACTAAGAATAAAATGAAGAATACTCTTTCTTCAACTCCCTATTCGGTATCAAATCAAATTTGTCAACACTTAATTGCCTGCGCCTACTCTATTACAGAGATGGTACAAACTCAGAGTTTTGTGTTTTGGATACATTTCTGCATATGGCCTCGGATTTAGGTATGCAGATTAAGCAGCAATCTGTGATCAACAGGGGCATAACAAACCATCATTTACGGATGGTGAAAATCACCACAAAAATGACACCTGACAATGCAGCTTATCAGCAAAATACCAGTACTGACATTTGATTCAGTAAACAGTAGTCACTCCATGCACCAGAAGGAAGAAAGCAGTCCCTTTCTCTTCCAAAATGTGATGCAAGATCACAGTATACAAGATACTCAACTAACTGAATGATTCCATTACGGATTTTAGTTTTGAAAAGTGTTTGGATTTACCACTAGTTCTCTGCATTTTGCTTTGGAAGCTACTGAGCTGAATATGTAAAGGTTTCCTTTGTACGACAAATATTTCTTTCACAAACTACTACAAAAACATTCAAGTGTTTTCTTAAGCTGAGAACTTGTACTTCTCATAATAAGAATGTCATTATTTGCAGTACTTATTAGTAACATGTAAGTTACCAATCCCCTTTGCCAAGAACTATAACATTTAAGACTGCCATATTTTAAAAACAGTAAGTCAGGATAACGGTGTCATGTTACTGTAAAGCATTGATCATCACAAATTAAGGCACTTACCAGAGAACTGTTTACAGTGTTATCTGTTGTACAAGCAGCAAAATAACCTTCAGCGTCTGCAAACTAATTACAGAACCTTAAATGTAATAGCCTATCAAGACAGAGTTATTAATAACTGAGATTTTTTGAGAGTAAGTTTTTTTTAATGCCTCTTTCCGTAATTCATCACAATTCCCTCTCTCCTTCCAGCCCACCTCCCCAATAAACAAAAGGGCTTACAAGTTCAGTAAATAATTTCAGTAATTCCAGGTACCTCTTGGAGAACCCCATTGAATTCAACTACCCATGTATCAATGCAGGATCAGGCTGTTAGAATGCCAAAACCTGTAAAATTCAGTCTTAGTGAGACATGCTTCACTAAATTCTTGTGCGTGTATTAACAACAAGCCTCTTGTTTCTTCATTTTATTGAGGCAAAGTTCCTTTGCATAAAAACCCAGAACTCTGCCTTATTTTTAACAAGATTTAAATCAGGATTAGGTCAAATATAATTTTTCCTCTTCCATTCTGCATCTTCACAAGCATTACAACCCCTGTTCCCTGACCTGCAGCTTGCTGTTCTACCATGATGGTAAGCAATCTATTAAATAAAGCCTCCAATGTGGAAGAGGGCTTAAAAGTAAGTTTTGAGTGTTTATCCAAGCAATCATTATTGCAACATTATTGCATTTTTTTAATTAATCTATAAATGTATAATTTTTGTTCCAGATTAATAAACACAAGACATTTTAAAAGCACTTATAATAATTATACAGATGAATATTTAACCAAACTCCTTCGGGGAAAATAAATAAAATCTGACTGCATACTACAGTCCTGTCTCTGCACTGTTCTTCTGAAACAGACATTACTTTTGATGTTGGCATATTTCCAACAAATTATTTTTAGAATTACTTTTTATAGGATTAGAAAGAAAAAATAATGAGATTCCCCTAGTGGTGCCATGAGTGCCACACAAAATGTGACAAATTGAGCACTCTTTGCTATCTTGTTCATACAAGTTCATATTTCTTGACTAACTGAGTCTTGTGCAGTGCTATGTCAATACAAGCACTACCATTCACATTAGGCAGGAGCCCCTCATTCTACTCATCTGCTCAGTATAATTGCTCTGTACAATTAATCATTCTTGAGCACTTTCATCATCCTTATTTGCCATTACTGCCAGTAAAGAATCTGTAAATTCTGTTTATTTCCAGATTATTTTATGAATATCCTGAACAGCATTACGTCTAACACATGACACACTATGCACAGATACTTGGTATTAAAGGCTGATCAAGCAAAAATTATTCCAAGATATCAGCCAACTCTAAATGTTCTATGTGTTTAACACAACATTAAAAAAAAAAAAAAAAAACAAACAAAAAAAAAACAAAACCACAACAGAAAACAAAACCCAAGAAGGTTCTGTTTTTCAGGTTTTGGTGGGGTTTGGGGGGTTTTGGGCTTATAAAAATAAAAATATTTTGGCTTAATGTCATGTAACACTTCAATTGAAGTATGTTATGCCTACAACTGTCACTATCAGTGAAGTCTAATATATCTAAAAGAACTGAAGTCAGTTCCTTTCGTACAAGCTATTTTCTATAAAGACATGTTGATTCACAGCATGTTCTTGGACCACATTTTCTGTTATTTTAATGTGAGATTAATGTCAGGCCAAATGCCTTACTGCTTCCTGAGTCCTGCTGTTTAGCATTCTGAAACACTGGCACAGAACAAGCGCTCCTCCCAGCATCTCTTAATTTCCTTGGAAAAAGGTATGTATTTCTACAAAATGACAATAATTTTAAACTCTAACACAAACTATGCCTAGTTCTAGAATGAGCAACAGAAGTGCATAAAGGCTATACAAATAAAATATTAAAAATAAGAAAAACATAATACTACCACCTCTCCTACAGAGAACTTTAAAAACCTCAAAACCACTTAACAAAGAGTTCATAGTTCTGTCAGAGACAAAGGAGGCCGGTAATAAAAATTAACTACAAAGTTCAAATATTGATTCCATTGGTTACAGATGCTGGAGAAGTAAAAGGGAACCAACAACTAACAGTGGTGAGGCTTATAAGCTCTTCTTAAAAGAATTATCCTCTGCAACTGTCCAAGATAAAATACCAGGCTAGATGGTTCAATGGCCTGGCCCAGTAGAGCATTTCTTACGACTCCTGACACAGTTCATTTTGCTTTTTCCTTTCTTTTCTTCCTCTCACAAGCCTACTATTATGATTGCCATGTCTTCCTGTGCTGTGATTCAGTTTATAACAGTTTTTCTGAAAGCACTATTTCACAAATACGTAAACTCTGCTTTTCTCTAGTCCCTATTTTCAGTTTTTTCCGTACAAACTTCAACAAATATTGAAACATCTACAGAGTTAAAATACTTACAAAAGCTGCATGCCTTCCACGAAACCCACGAGTACACTGTTGCCTCCACGGTTTCCAAACAATAAATCCCAAGAGGTATAGAACAAACATGGATGTTTTTGCAAATGTACTGAAAAAAGGTTTGTTGTACTTTGTAAAAACATACTGTGGAAAGAAAATAATTGCAGTATCCAAAATTACCAATTAGGTAAGAATTCACAAAATGAATGAACAGGTTTAAATATATAGTCCAGAACAGTCTTGCTCCCAAAATGACAGTGCTGTGAGTATTGGCATGTATGATCAAAAGACAAGTGGCCCTACCTATTCTGGGGGGTACTCTCTCCCAAGCTGTCTTAAATGCCAACAAGAAGGCACTGAGTCGTTTTATAAGATACAATGCCACCAGAGAAAAGCTACTATATACTTGCTTCTAACCAAGCAACATATTGATATGCCACTGAACTCAAATAGGACAGAAAATACATTTATATACCAATATTCTCTAAATGAAAGACCACTTTTATAAGCAATAGCACAGTAATGACAAATTAGAGAAGATTGCTTTGATTAACTAGCATTTCAGTACCAATAGTGACTCCATCAGCTCACTGGAATGAAAGTGTTATTAATATAATAGCATGTTAAACACAAACATTTTTATATCCTTAGTTTCAAAACTGGTATAGAACATAGCAACTTAATGACAATTCAGAAACCTGAGTTTGACAAGAATTTATTAAAAGTTCGATTTCTACTACTAAAACTCTGGTTTAAGTCCTAAAAATTAATGTGAAGTAAATACCAGATCAGTTTCAAGATCATGAATATATGAACTTGATTATGACAAACTTGTCTGCAATTACAGGGCTTAAACGCCATGCCCTGAGTCCTCTGGTCCTAGACTTCTAGATGCACTGATCTATAACCTACCACAATACCTAGCCTACAATGTTACAGGTCATTTACTATGTCTTGGGAAACACATGAGCATTATTTTGATCAATATGACAATAAACAAAATTAACTCCCTAGTTACATTAGATAGTTATGAACTTATGTTGTTTAATTTTAAAGTAATCAATAACACCTTCTGTCTTGAAAGCAACCGCCACCGAGTTGAACTTCTTTGTAACTTTTAGTGGATACAGGTTAGCTCGCTAACCCAAAGGACATTGCACTAGAACACTCACTGAGTGTTTGAGTGACCATGTTTCTGCCACATCTTTCTCTTAAATAGGCTTTTATTTTCTTTTTAAGATGAAAGGAACAATACTTACAGAAGTGAGTTCTGAAGAGGCAACCCATATCACATCAACGAGGAGAAGAATGACAATTCCTAGAGCCATTCGCCTACGCTGAGTGGATGAACTGCTCTGGGAGCTCATTCGATTCATGATAAAAACCCACACCATTTGTAACCTATTCAAGATTGATAAAGGAATAAAATCCAAAAGATTACAGTGACAAACAACAAATAGTGGGGGCAATTGTTTCATATATAGGAAATGGACCCAATATGACAGGAAACACATGCTTATGTTTGTTAAAAAGCAGATTTTAACAGATCTGGCATGAGTTTTTCAGAGACGATAGGGACAATTAGAAAGTAAATCTCAACTTTTCAGTAATTTCTCAACTGTTCTAACACTGAAGTAAGCAAAAGTAGATAAAACATACAATGGCTTTTTCAGAATTTCTATGCTACAAATTCTGCAAAATTTGAAACTGCTACATTTGGATAAATTCAGATGCTCTAAGCTGACAGTAGAAATTAGTCTGATGTGTTGTGTCAGATAAAATTCCACTAAAGGTAGTCAGAAACATGTTTAAATTTAAGCATTCAACAAACATTTCCAAAGACATAGCAACACATCTGGACAAATTATGATCCCTCAAAGCATAAAGCGATTCAAGAAAAAAAACACAAATACTACTTACTTGTAAAGTTAAAAAGTTAGATTACACATGTACTTGAACTCAAAAAACATATATATTTCATAATTCATTAAATATAGGCATGCACCATTTCCAGTGAAAACCTATCAAACTAAGAGTAAGCATACAATATATGCAACAGAAAGCTTTGCCCATTTAAAAAAGGCAAAACATTGATAATGATTTTGATTGTGCCCCAGTGTGTTACACATAGGAATAATCAATTAAGAACACTTCATATTCTGATAAATCAAAACAACCTCAGCAGTAAGCTAGCTTCAAGTTTGACATCTAGTACAAGTCATGCAGATTTGCCAGAAATTACAGCATAAACAAGTTCAGATTTTGACATACACAAACCTATTTTCCTTTTCCTAGACACACCTCACAACTCCTAGAAGTCTTTGTTCAAGGTAGCAATAGAAAGATGTCAATTTAGTCAATTTGAGTGAATTACCAGGAAAGCACCACTGGGTTTAAATGTTTTATAGCAAACTGCTTTAACGTACTGGAAGATTAAGAGTATACCACTCAACAGAAAATTCTGAAGATATGGCTTGAGCTGCAAAAATTCGTATTAGGAAGAAGACTATTTGCAGTTAAAACATTAACATTTATGCAGATGAGCAGTACAGCAGTACATAAATTAGAGCATGACCAACCTTCTTTCTTTTTCCTTCAGTAAGCAGAGTACTTCTGATTTATACAATTTACAGAGTAAATGAGAACAGAACTGATATTGTTTGAGTTGGCCAAAAAAGTGGCACATTGTGACTTTAAAGGACTTGACTTTGCACAACTTGCACTAAAAATAAGTATTAACATTACTGAAAACATTAAAGCTATGTTAAGAGATCCCTAAAATACTTTCAAAAACTAAGAAAGGCAAGGCAAACAAGCTTTTAAGTATGTTGCTTGTGTTTTAAATAAAAAAATTACAAGATCCACTGGACCTACTCCAAACAAATGCTAATCATGAGCATACCAGACCTGCATGTGTTCTTATATCCACGAATGCTGCTAGAAGGGAATTCAGTTTTGTGGTACAGCTTTACGACTGCTTATAAGACCACCTAACTTTAGGAAAACCTTCAATTTTATGATTTAAAAGCTTCAAATACAAGTGACGGAGACTGATGTCTCATTCATCGATCTACTTGCACTAGGATCTTCTACATACTCTATAATGAACCTCAGTGAGATATGTATATGGTAGTTCTATGATTAACATTAACTTATGTATGTGTATATTTTAAGAACCAATTTATTAAGAGTTAATTTGCTACAGATTGCATAACATATTTTGCTATTTATCATCATAAACTCAAATACTCACCCTCTTTGAGAGAACTCCTCAAAGAACTGAAGTGTAATTCACCTTTACTGAGCAGCTCCTCACTCTCCCAGTAAATAGAGGTGATTTGCTTTGCTAATATATTTCAGTAAATTTAAATTACACTTTGTTTTTTCCACGCTTGTCAACATACAAACACTTACTGTCCTGTCATTATTTACAAATTATTTATGACAGAGTGCCACAATGTCTTCAGTGAGGAAGCTACATTCATTTTTTTCCAGACCAGCCTATTCCTCAGATGAATGATTTAAATGCCTGGATATGCACTAGTGCATTTGAGATCACTACACTGTTTCCTGCCTTTAACTCATACCTCTCCTTTGCAATACAATCTCTGCCACATTCAGATCTTGACACTTTTTCCTCCATTTCTCAAAGGGCCTCTTGCAAAGAAAAATCAACAGGCAGAGTTCCGGAAGTATAATTACACCACTAGATCTATGCTGATATATTCCATGTGTGGGCATAAATTCTGGATAATTATTCCGCTTTTCTGATAAAATGGTGGGACTGACAGAGGAAAGCAGAAGTCTATAAGTAGAGGGGCAAAGTTATGAAAGACTCAGCAAGGAATTGCAGTCGTCATTTGATACAGAATAAAGCAGAAAACACTTGTTCTCAAAGACAGAGTAAATAGGGATATTATCTTAAACTTGAGTAAGCTAACAGAAAGGTTTTCATGCTTGAAAGCTTTTAAGGGTTATTTTCAGCTTTTATGAATTGATCTAATAGATATTACATATTATACTGTACAAACTTTGCTTTCATTTCATTATGACTAATAGCCTACAAGCCATTATATTAAGTTATATTATATATAGCCTACAAATTGCTCATGTGTTTGCATAATATGAAGCAAAAATGGAAGCTGGGCATAAAAGAGTTCCAAAGGAGCTAGAAGGAAGAAATTTCATTCTTTGTCAGGCTACAGAATGACACATGAACAGTGATAAGGTATACCAGTAATGAAAACCACTCCAGCCTTCCACCAGTTATGTGCTGCAGGTAAGAGGGGGAAAGGTAGCTGGAGACATAAAGGAAGCGCAACAGCCTGATCAATTTGATATCTCTACATCAGATGCTCGAATCCCTAGCTCTTCTGTTCTCACCAGAAATTGCTTCAAAGCATATAGCACTTATACACTGTGCATAGAGACCATGCACAGATATTGTGCACGTTCTGTAGTTGCTTAATATTGTACTCAACTTGTCTACATTAGGCTTGGACAAATCCCTTGCTTTACGATCCCTCAGCAGGAAGGAAGTAAAGGATGATTACCTATGATAAGTAGATTTTAAAATTCTAATTAAAGAGCCCATACTTATGTCTGGAAGGTTTTTATGTTACAGTAATAGCAGCTATTACTTTCCCATCTAACTACAAAGTGTCCAACATTTCTGTGCTTAATATAGCCTTTTGCTTATTTCTTCCATGACAAGGAAAAAAGCTTAACAAGAAAGGGTGACTACGAAGTCTTCATCATACAGCACAATGCACCTTCAAACTGGTAGTCGACTAAAAAAGTTACAAAGCAGCAATACTAAAATGTCTATAATGTTCAGCAGAAAAAACAGAACCCTATTGAAACTTATATACAAAGTTTTAGGACAGAATGAAAACCTGTAAAGCTTCACACAGAATGCAAAGACAGATAGAAAATATTATTTTACAGTTCTAGACAGACACATCATCCCACTTATTGACAAACTATGAGCATTCATGAACTTGTAATGAAATACAATTCCACTCATTTCTTTATATTTGGCTTCTGTACATATATATGGCAATATGCTCTAATAAAAATGAACACAGAATGAACAAGATTAACTTTTCTAATACATACCTGCCACAATAACTGTAAAAAAAAAAAAAATACTAACAAACTTCATGCATCATGTCAAAGTGAAGATAGTCTCCTAAAAAGAAAAAAAAAAGCAAAGTTTGAAAAACCATTTGTGTGTGTGTGTATATTATGCACGTACCTTTGCAAAACATTTTCTAAAATTTCATGTTCCACAAGTGCCTGCAGCAGTTCAAGTCCTAAATATTGGAGATGTACAGATACAGAACCTTAAGAATCAATACACATCAAAAATGCTAGCAGGACAGCACTTAATTGCAAGAAAACAGAATCATTTACTATTTTTGATATTTCAGAGAACACAATCCCTTCCTTATTAATTGAATATGAGATGTTCAAATGAGAAAGAACCACCTGATGATGTTAAGTTAGTATTTTTTAAGCTATGCAGAGAAAGGCCCTATTTCTTAAGCCTACATTCCTAAGCAAATAATTTAAACATTCGAATTAGGAAGGTAGTGGAAGAGCATATAGGCTCTTTGGCCTTAAAATAATCTAGAAATATAAGACACCTTCACATTATTTCTTGTGGAAGCCCAGTATCTCTCCTTAATTTGATATAGTATTATTACTGTATCAAAGGAATAAAATAAAAAAAAAAAACTTACATAAAACTTTTTTTTATTTTAAACTCTGATCCTATAAAGACATTCAATCAAATCAACTTTAAAATTGTTATATAGGGAAAGAAACATTATACATAAAGGGACTTTGGAAAAAATGTTATACTAGAGCAATCAGAAGCCCATCTAATCTGTAACTATTTGGAAATCCAGATGTTGGCAAGTATATGGTGCTCCAATAGAAGGCACAACAAAACTGGAACTGACAACCAAGAATAATAAAGCCCCAAGTTTTACTGCCTGGAAGTGGTGGAATCTTTTTCTTTTCTTATTCATGTGAAACTGTGCTAAGCTCCGTTTTAGGGATATCCTGTACCGACTGGAGTCATACCCTATATTAATGAGTCACAAATTAGTGTGCAGAACAGAGGTAGCAGCAAGGGCAAAACTAAATACTTACCCTAAATTTTGCCTTTGATTACCTGTCAAGCATGGCTGAAAGTTATAAATTGTGAACAGGAGACAAAAGTTAAACTGATGCTTTGCACCTATTGCAAATTAAGAGGGGGACTATAAAAATGGACTGCACAAGCCTACGATTCAGCCCACACTGAACTCATCAAGATTTACACACTGCTTAGCATCCAGCAAATTTAAGCCCCTTACCACAAAGTTTACCAAATGACTGTAGCTGGTTAAAAAAAAAAAAAAATGCAGATGTAGCTTTAAGACACAGGCATGTGATTATCCATCTTCTATAACACAAAGCTGATGCACACTGTAGATCCTGAACACCTATTTAATTCTGTGCCTTCACACAGAAACAGTAGCTGCTGGTCATATTTTTCTTACACTACCAACCTAATTAGAGATTAGATCAGTATCTCAGATAACCAAGACCGAAACCAGAAGACTTTATCCATACAAAGCTCAAACAGTTTGTGCACACTTAATTTATACTCCCAACATAACTGAGTATAACAATAACAAAAATAAATAGAAAGCAAAAAAGATGCTTAAAAATTCTTCCCTCCATGCACACTAAACCAAATATCACTAGGGGAAAGATACTATACAGTTGCTTACTTTTGGCCCATACTCAATCCATATTAGCTATACTTGAGTAACCAGGTGCAGAACTTTCACCTAAATTCGGTTATTATGGAAGACATATAGTTTACCCTCTATCAGCATGCAAGATCTGCTGCGGACTGTAGTCCTGACTGAAGCTGATCACACAGAACCCTGTTCAATGCTTATTATCAACAATTAACCCACTTCAGGATAAAGATAAAAGTTTAGCATATTAATAGAACATCTGACACCTAAATGAGAACTGTGCAAGACACTTTACCCTAAGAACACGGCTTTACCCTTACAAAACTTTTAATTCATCAAGCACACAGAGTTATGATAAATTTAACCCACCAGAAAACATATAGGCTGAAATAGAAACAATGGTTTAAAAGCAAATACAATATTGTACTCTATTAAATACAGTAGAAACTTCAGCATATGTTTGCCTTTTGTTTCCATTATTAGGAAATAAATATGCTTTCCATATGGTATAAATTTAAATATACCAGTTGAAATCTAACATTTGAAGGAATAGTCATGTAAAAGGCATTTCTTATTATAATTTTCAGCAAATAACATGGGGATCTTTTCAAGTTTTGTTTTGTTTTTTATTATTATTTTTGCTTTTATTTACCATTTTAACAGTGCTAGAGTTGGTGCTGTCATCTTGCAAAACCATTTTTCAGCTAGTTACATGAAGATCTTCTGAAAAAAAAAAAAAACACACAATAAAAACCCCTTAACTTTGTTATGACACTGTATTTCATTTTTAAAATGTTCCAGTATCCTAGATCACTCAAGCTGAGTCACCACTTTAATTTACGATACACAAAAAACATTAAAAATGGTGTCACTATGTAGTTTACAATGTATGTTCACGTAGCTGATTACACTAACGCCAACAGGCTCAAAAGCCTGTCCAACTCCACCTTTCTGAACATGCAATAAGTGACTTTTGAGGACTGGATGTGTAACTCCACCATTGATACTTAATGTGCAGTCTTATTTCTATAACACTGAATGTTTCTTTGTGAAGATTATCACTTTTTTCAAATTAAAGGTTCGACCCTAAAAGATATAATCACATGAAGTTCACAAAATATGAAATAGCTTTTATTGTATTGACAATTAGGGAAGAGAAGATGTTAAGTAAAAGAACTGCCAAATCACTATGAAACAGGTGTATTGCTCCTAGCTGTTCTATGAAGAACACATACACACACACACACCCCCTAAAAGAATAGCATAATAACAAGAATAATAAGAGACCCTGCAGCTCAGTCACAAACTATTGTGGAAGCAAGTCAACTTGAAATTCTTCCTTGTATTTACTCAAGATTATTTGATATACTATTTGAAAGACAACATACCAAGATAAGATTTGCACACAGAAGAAATGGTTTTAGTTTTTCCAGCTATACCGGCTACTCCAACAGTACAAGTTCTGGGATACACACCCCACAACCCCCCTCCCCGTTTAACTTGTACTGCCATCAGGTGATTGTCATTTCATATTTTATAACTTTCGAGATAAGATAAACAGAGACACTGCTTTGACTCTAACCAGAAAAAAACTGAAAGTAACTGACAGACATTTCACAACCATCGTTCTAAATCTGGAAATGTACATTAAAGCAATGGTAATTTAACACAACTCTGACTTCCATTCAACTTTTGAGGGGTATCATGGTATGAGAGCAAAGGCAATAATCTTCAGAAGAGATGGGAAGGTGAGTGAGCCTTATGCAACATGACAATTATAGTCACTACAGCCCTGTAGTGACTTTCCTTGAGTAAGTCTCCTGTAGACTCTGTAGAATATATAGTGAAGCAAACATCCCAAAAAAAAGAAACTGAAGCCAAGTATTTCATGCCAGTACTGAGTACTGCAAGCAGAGATCACTGTTTCTAGCTAAATAAAAAGTTATATAGGACCCAAGTTTTTAGAGAAAACACATTAATTTTAGTACCGAACTAAGAGAACTTAACAAAGAGATGTTTTAGGAATCTAGAAGTGCACAATGTAACAGTCATACTACCAAACCATTATGGCACAGCTAGATCCTGGTATCTAAGAAATAGAAAGAACACTTGAAACAAGTTTGCTATTCAGCTCTTTCTCAAAATGCATGAAACAAAGTTTCAAAGTTTCTTACATACAAATAGTAAAGCAGAATATTAATCTAATGAATACTCTGGAGTCTTTAGCAGCTACCCGAGTATCTAACCACATACTTCCCAGGTTCATTCATACAGCATCCCAGCATGACTACAACCTTGTTGGACGTGAACATCTGTGACCACAATGAGTAAGAAACACACTAGTTTCAGGTTAGCAGAGTGAAAGTTAAAAAGTGGAACTGACATGGCCCTCCTTCTTATGCTCTTCCAACAACATTAGAAGAAAAAAAACTTCATGTCAAGCTGCTAAGGCCTCTTTAAGTGTTACTATGTATGTACAGCGAAATTAGCCACGAGTAGCTACAGATGTACTATTAGCTAAGAATTACAAGTGACATCCATTTCACATGCTACCCATCTAATCTTGTCTAGTGCAAGATCTAAACATATCAGGCTTTGTCAGAGGATAAACAGCCACAGATCTCTGATAAGAAGTCACAGCAGCCTTTAAAACTACACGTTGCTTTTGCATCTGAAAACTGAGCCTTCCAGGCATGTTAGAAATCGGCAAAATCGCCGCATTCAGAAACGCGCTTTCAGGGTGAATGGGTCTTCTCCTTCCTTCCTGCCGACAGATATCTTTGGGGAAAAATAGCAGGAAGAAGGAAACGAGTAAATCTCCCTTCACACACACACCCCCCCCCAAAAAAAAAAAAGGAAAAAAAAGTGGATGCCTGAGGAGAAAGAAGTACGGCTCAAGCCTTGGGGATCACGAAGGAGGAAGGATGAGTGTCCATCCTGCACTCGCACGTAAAACAAACCCTGGAGACCGTCAGGGCAGAGCGGCGGCGCAAGCAGGAACCTCCCCGCACCTCAGGCGAGGCAGGACAGAGCTCGTCGCCCGCCAGCTCCTTCCCGGGAAAGCGCAACCCCTCCGCAGCCACCCCCGGGCAGGGCGGGCACCCTCGGCTGCCTGAGACGGGGAGAGGAAAGCGCTGCCTCCCACACCACTGACACAAACGCGCGTGGGCCGTCACGGCGCTCCCACCCACCCGCGGCGTGAGGGCAAAGTTCCCCTCCCGAAGCGAGGCGGGGCCCGGTCTCGCCCTCCCTCCTCTCCCCAGCCCCGCGGGACGGGGACGACGAGGCCTCTTTGCCCGCGAACACACACCCCCCCCCCCCTCCGCGGCGGCCTGTTGACAGGCGCGGCGGCACTGAGGGGGCGGCAGCCGCGGAACCCGCGGCTCGGCTCCCGCCCCGCGCACAGACGCCCGGGGCTCGCCGCAGCCCCCCGTCCCCGCGGCGGCGGCGGTACCTGAGGCCGCGCAGGGGCCCAGCGCTCGGTCCTGCGGCGGCGGCACCGCCCCTCCCCGCCCGCCCGCCCACCTAAGATGGTGGCGTGCGCGAGCGGCCGAGAATCCATCCCCGAGGCCGCGAGCAAGCGCCGGCCCCGCCCCGCCCGCGGGCCGGCCCCATCGAGCCGCTCGGCCAGCCGCTCGCCACCCCTGCCGCCCCCCCCCCGTCCCGAGCGGGGTGGGAGGGGGCACCGCGGCTCGGGGCTGGGGGAAGCCGGACGAAATCCGGGATTTTGGTGGTTTCCTCGGAGGTTTGGGCCACTTCCCCGCGGCTGGGTCGGGGGGTTGGCTCGGGGAGCAGCGGGGACGGCGCCTGCAGCCGCAGCACCGGCCGTGCCCGCGGGGTTGACCTTCTTTAACGGGGGAATGGTTAGAACAGCTCTGATGGAGGAGACCTCCCTTCGAGTAGGCGAGCCAGTGTCTAGCGTTTATACAGTCTTTTTCAAAGCAGGGAGATAAGCGGGGAAAAAACAAACCAAAACCCAACAACAACGAAAAACAAAAAGCCAAACCCCAAACAAAAGATGGAGGAACACAGACGGCTGGGGAAGAGAGCACGAACTGGAGAACTAGAGATGGAGAAGTGGGATGGAGCTTGAAACTAGTCTGTCAAAAAGGGGGAAGAAATAAAAAACAAAGTGAGCAAGACCCTTGAGAAATGACCTAAAATGCAGCGAGGTGGTGGAAACTTTGTTTCAGAGCTACCGTAATCTTTACGCTGCGGTACAGAATCTCATGGGACTGGGAAGTAGTGGCAACTAATTAAATTCTCAAGATAGATGTATGCTTTGCTATCAACACACTTTTAATAGCATAAAAAATTGAAATTGTATAGACATATAAGTTACATTAAAGCACAGTTCCCTTAATTTTCAGATGTATAAGTTATTGTCTAACTGATCTGTAAAAGGAAATATTAGGCAAACTTAAAATCTACCCAAAAATAACAATTAAAATAAACTAGTATAGGCTTAGATGAAATTGCAAAATCAAATTCTGGTCTCATGTTAGTTTTGTGGTCCACATGACTTCCCTGTAGTCAGTGTTGATTCGTGTTTTAAGAATTGAGCTCATAATACCAACCTAAAGATAACCAGTGGTATATGTAATGTGTTGCAGATTTTTCAGTATTTGCCTGCTAACAGAAATACGTCTTTTTGCAACATTCAACTATGACATATTTGGGGAATTTTAGAGTGAAAAGTGCTAAAAAATAATAGTAAGCGATGTATACAGATGTGTGGAAAGGTAAATGATATTTAACTGTAATTAGGTGATACATATGATACAGCCGTGAAATTAATTTAAGTGCTATTCACACAAACTGTTGAAATAAAACAAGATATTTTGCCCTTCCTACAACTTAGTGATTGAAGAGATCCATTATCTCTCATATAACAATGTTATGTTTTACCATCATACTCCAGGGTCGGTGTTATTGTTAGACTTGAATTGTTTCCTGTACATTTAAAAAAGTTACTTCTTAAGGAAAGAAAAACCTTTTAAGAACTTTTAGTCTGAAACTGGTGGGTTTTTCGTGAGCCTTCATTTCTTAATGTAGGTATTTTTATTTGCATATAGTAGCACTAAGAGACATGCAACAAGCTTCATGCTTCATAAAACTGGTTGTTAGAAGTAGTAAGACACAATACCTACCCTGAATCATTTATAGACTAAACAACACAAGGAATTTATGGTCTTGGTTCAAACTGTCTTTTTTTTTGTTTTGTTTATGTATTTTTAGTATCTAATATAGATGATACTGTATTGATTTGTTGTGCTTCTGTCCTCACTACCTTCTGCCTTGAAGCCAAAATTGCCAAAATATGCAATATGGTGCTTTTATATGAAATTTTGACTTTACAGCTTTGGAAAGAGATTTTAAGTAAAACTAATTTCAGACAAAACTGCAGGAAAATAGCAGTCCTCTTGAAATGGTGTTTCTGTGGAGTTTAGAGGAGTGGAAAATTATATAAAATGTAATTACAAAAATGTGTATGCATCTCAAAGCATCTAATTTTCTTAGGTCCTGCCCATCTTTGCTGCAAGTATTTATACTGAGACTCAGTAAACTTACATGGCTTACCCAAGGTCAGTTAGTTAATATGCAGCGAAACCTGAGAAAACAACAAAAGAGCTATGACTACAGTACTCTGACTGAGAAAGTACACATAATACTTTCTTACAGGTAATAGTGCTTTTACTAAATAATATGTTGAAAATTATTATGCATAATTTATATTAATATGGGGTGACTTTTATATTTAAAAGAAAAAGCTGCATGTGTTCTTGTGAACAGGGAGAATAAATAAGGCAACAGAGAAGGTGCAGATTCTCAGCCTCTCTGTCTTACCTTATGTACCTCTCTGTCTTACCTTATATAGTGATCAAAAAGCTCTGGAAAAGGGGAATTCACCTTTAAGAGCTAGCATAATGAAGCTCAGCTTGGTTTGCTGTCCCTGGCAAATGCTGTCCCACAGTGAGGGGCAGTAGCTGGTGCTAGGGATGGCAAAATACCTGGAGGTGCACAGATTTTGTATTCTTTTTCCTTTGGTCTCCTTTTGACAGTGGAAAGCATATGAAATCCCAACTCTGAATTAAAACCACTTTTCTGAGTGTAGCTCTACTTGTCCTCTCTTGTATGTGAGTTTTCTTCTTTATTTTTCATGAGGCTATGCAGCTTGCATCTCAATGCAGTCACACAGCTAAATCCAACTTCTTAATGCTTTGATTTTAAACATTTTGACTGAGGCAGGCAAACTGGAGAAGACTGCAGTTCTTAAGGTGGAGTGCCAAGCTTCTCTTCATCATGGGTTAAGGTGCTTATGCTGTGGTTCTGGAGGCATTTGAGGAAAAATGGATCAACATTGTCAGAAGCCCAGATGTTTGTACTTTTTACACTTAGAAATATCATAGGACTCCTGTATTTTTAGTTCTTGACTAAGTAATTTGCTTCCTATTGTAAAAGTTCACATGATGATCTTGTGTCTTCTCTGAAAGAAACTATTATAAGAATGATTTCCCTTTTTTTTTTTTTTTACTGTTCCTTTTTTAGGAATTAGAATTTCAGTGATCACACGTAATAAAACTATGTATATTGCAAATTACACATATTGCATGTTTATTTTTCTTGGTGTGAATATTTTAGTTACATAAATAGCACTTTTATAAGCAAAGCAAAATTATATCTACTTCCCAGCAGCACACTGTAATATTTTCATAAGAGAAAACATCCTCAATTTTATTTTACAGACCTGCTAAGTTGCACTTATGAAGAAAATTAGATTTTAGTTTCTGCTCATGTATGTTCTACTTATGAGAATGCAATAGCTGATTTGGATGAAATAGATCAGATCCCAAGAAGGAAATGTAATACTCTGTAGGTCTCATAATAGATCTCTACAAAGGAATTGAATCTACTTATTTTAAAGAAAGGCTTCCTTCAGAAGGATTTGGATCAAGATGTTCATGGTGATGAACAAGACAAAGCAGCAGAAGAAACTATTAAAATTTTAACTGTCAAAGTCAGTTTTGATCAACTTCTGTCCTCCTTAGGGGAAGGATGTAGACTAAATGTCGAGGACTAGATCTGGTGTAGGATGCATGACAGCAGAGGTTTCCCCTATTCTCTTGGGTTAGACCAAAAGTCCATCTAGCTCAGAATCATGTCTCCATGATGACTTGTAATGGATGCCTGGGAAAAGGGTATCAGAAACAAGGCACTGAAAAAGTAGTTGTTTCCATGGCACATCACTGTAGTTTTTTGAAATAAATGGTTTACAGCATCCTTACCTGGAGGTCTGTAATTCAGCCAATATATTTAATAGCTTTTGATGGACCTATGAACTTGGCTAATCCCTCCTGTGAACCAGCTGTACTGTAAAACATTAGCCGTTAAGGATTTATTTAGCTAGAGTCTTGTAGCGTTAAAGAAAATGCTTCTTTGTGTTTGGGTTTAGCCCACTGGTTAATAATCTTATCACATAACTTGTAATAGCTATTCACCTTCTTTGCACCATTTGAGTTTTAATGTGTTTTATAGTTGTCCTCAACTGCCCTTAAAGTGTCCTAAGTCCCACTTTGCATGAAGCCACTTGCGATGGAGGGAACACTTCTGTTGCTCAACTATCCTCACTGCCTTCCCTGTCTCCCAATCCAAATTTCAAGATCCTGAAATCGAAACATCTAACTTTGGGTGTCATGAGTTAGACTGTGATAATTACAATTTCAATTTTGTTCTCAGTCCTCTCCTGTGTATTTACAAACATTTTTAAATTTTGACCCTTTTCAAGCTGTTACATAGCTGTTTTCTTAATTGGTTCACCTTACGACAAGACTCTAAGAAACTGCAGTGCTTGAAACTGTGTTATTCTGAATAAAATTTATGCTGATTACTATGAAAACTACTGATACTTATAGGAAAAATGTTACGTTGCAGATGTATTAAAAGCAAAACAAATATTTTTACAATGTCCCTTTTTATATAACCATTACTCTTAATCACTGTATAAAATGAACTAGAATTGAGAGCTTTTTCTGCTTCCTACTGAACGTTACTTGCAAATATTAGCTAGTAATAACATTACAGACTAGTAAAACAACTAATTTGGGAAACTTGTCATCACTTATTTCATTCTTTTTACTTTGCTGATTTATAACAGTAAAGAAAACAGGAATCTTAATTGGCAAGGGGGTTTCCCAGACTGAAAATGACTAAATTGCCATCACTTAATTATTTTCAGTAGATGAACTGTGATCATGATTTGTTAAAAAAAGACAATTTTAAAAACCGTTTGGAAGCCTATCCAATCAAAACAAAAAGTAAATGGAAAATAAACCTTCAGAAGTGTTCTAAGTTACAGTTGCCATGCATTTGAGAAAAATCATATGCAGGAGGGGACTGCACATGTAACCTTCACGTGTATTGAGAGGCAGAGAGTCATTTCAATGCTATAGCTAACAGAAATGTATGTGTGAGCATGAGTACCTGCTCTGTCTAGAGATCCAATAGAAAAA